ACCCTGTGCCAGTGTCTCACCACCCTTACAGGGAAGAGCTTCTGCCTAAGATCTAATCTAAATCTCCCCTCTTTCAGCTTAAAACCATTCCCCATTGTCCTGTCACTGCAGGACCTAAACCTTCAAACCAATAAATAGGTGGCTGCAATCACAGCTCTGCACCCGTTTCCATCCCTGTCTTTCCCAGCTCGGCATCGACCACAGCTCCACGGGCACAAGGCAATGAACACCTCGCTCCTGGCAGCCTGGAGTGGGCGGGAAGCATCCCCCATCCGAGTGGGCAGATAAAGGAAACATCCACAGCCCATGGGACCTGTCCCCAGTCCCAGCAGGAAGAGTCCCCAGCCCCTATTGTTCCAGGGAGAACAATGCCATGGCCTCGGCGCCTTCCAGGGACTCACTGGGGAGACCAAATGTAAGCAGGGCCCTGACGCAGGGGCTAGAGGAGGAAGGGACACACAGGGCTTGGAAGCACCAGCATCCAGGCACAGGCTGGGATGTGGAGGGGCTAGAATTGCTATTTTCTCCTTCATTTTGCCCCCAGCACAAGGGCAACATCACCCTTGAGGGTAGGCAGCCCCATCTCCCTGCTGGGGCAGGACTGGGCTCCACTCTGTGGTTTTCCAGTACGTGATGCCCATTTTTTCCTTCCTGAACTCCAGCCCATCATGCCTTGGTCCAGTCCCTGCACAGAAGGGATGACATCTGCCGCCTCCTCCTTGCTGGGATGCTCCAGGAACCAAATCCACACAAAACTTTTCCCTCTGTGGTGGTTTTCAACCAGCTCAGCTGCTCAAACCAGGGCACAGCAGCATCACACCAGTGCCAGGATCCCCCATCCCTCACCTTCTTTGCTGTCCAGCACGGAATCCTTCAGGGAGCTGGCAGCCCCAGTCTGGCCTTGCACCGGGCTCTGCGCTGGGCTGATGCCACTGCCCCCATCTGCTTGGTCTTTGCCCCTCATTTCCTCCTGCCAAAGTGTGGATTTGGTGGCAGGGACCTTCTCTGCACTGGGAATGTTGCTGCTGGTCACAGCCATCTTCGCAGGACCAGGCTCCTAAAGAGAACAGGGGACTAGTGGGTTTGCCCCACCCCCACCCACAGAGGGCCCGTGGGGCTGTTCCTGGAGGTGTGGGAGCCACATGGCTTAGGTGCTGCCCATGATGCTCAGCCATGTGCCACCACCACATTCCCAAGGGAACAAGCTCGCAGGTGGAAACCCCCAGTGTGGGACAGGTCAGGATAAAGTGATCATCACTATGGCTTAGGTGCTGCCCATGATGCTCAGCCACGTGTCACCACCACATTCCCAAGGGAACAAGCTCACAGGTGGAAACCCTGCCCAGTGTGGGACAGGTCAGGATAAAGTGACCATCACAGCTCTCAAAATGAGACAGGGAACATCCTTTGCCAGGGAGGGCTCCCAAAACCAGCCACACCTCCCCATGCATCCAGTTGGGAACAGATCCAGAGCAAAGGCAAGCCAACAATTGCTTCAGCCAATGCTGCAGCAGCACCTGGCTTTGTTTGGGACAGGAACTGCTCTTCCCAGCATGGCACGCAGGATGCTCTGGCCACCAACATGTAACTCCTTGGGAAAAGCTCATCTCATGCTCACACACCACGTAGGGTCCCTTCCACTTACACTCCAGCACAGCAGCTCTTCCCAAAAGCTGCCTGGTGCAAGCGTGGGGCTCTGCACCCACATTCATGTGCAATGCCACAGACCCACAGAGAAACAGGTCTGTCAGGTCCTAACTCACGGGGAACCTCTGAATGCTCCCCTCACCTCTGCCAAACCCCAGTTTGGGGTGACACTGCACCCTCTGTCATCGATGGAAACGAACACACCAATTCCTCCTTACCCTCTGCACACCCCTGGTCCCTCTGCACATCCCTGGTCCTTCCGCAGGCTGTCTCACAGCCTTCCACAAATACAGACCAACACCAGCCTTCTCCCCTGGGACCCATTTGCCAGGACTGAATCTGCTCACTGTTATCACCAAAAACCCCACAGAAATCAAACTAAAGGACACAGGATTGAGGAGAAAATGAATTCCCTGCCTCCGGCAGCTGTGATGTTTGTTTGTCACAGCTGGTTTGCTACAGGCCACTGATAAAGAGTAAAACCCAACCAGTGCTGCTCTCCTCCTAGGTGCTTCGTTTACCTAACAGGCTGCTTGTTTTACAAAGGAAATACAACATCACACTGAGCTTTATGCTACTTGAAAACAATATCCATCACCTTAACTGCTTCTCAAGGGGCTCTGGAGTCCACCAGATGATGATGGCAGCTTGGTGGCCACAGCCTGGGCAGGCCAGGTTGGGAGCATGCCCCAGCTTTCACAACAGGGTTTAGCTTTGCTCCTTAGCACATGTTTTGCTGTTGTTGTACTAAGCTCCTGCATTAGCAGATTATTTTCCTTAAAGCCACCAATAAATCAATGACAATTAACACCCCCCCTTCAAAGTCTCCGGATTGTGGGAAGTTTCCCAGCTGCTTGTTCCCTTCCCACAGAGTAGGGGGAATCCAGGAGTGCCTGAGCCAGCAAAGAAGATCTGGGGACAGGGGCTGCAAAGAACATCCTCTCAACATCAGCAGAGTCTCTGGTGGGTTTTAGCCCTGCACGTCCAAATCAGCATTTGGGCTGCTGGGGATCCCCCAGGGAATGGGTCCTGGCTCCATTCACAGCCACAACAAGCAGCAAATGACCTCAACTTAAACAAAATCCCTTTGGAAATTTCAGTGCAGTGTTGGAGGTGAATGATCCAGAGTTCATGGGCATCCTGCTCCAGGGAACCCTCCTTGAGAACAAGCTCCAACCACCAAAGTCCCCTTCATCCTTAACCATTGATCCAAAAGCCCAAAGCTCGTCACCAGCTCAGGATATATATCCTTATATATCCCTTCCACACACCCCCATATAATTATTTGTGGATATGTATTGAATTAGACAGAGATATGAGGGCCAAAAAGCAGTCTATGAGCAAGCAAAGAAATTAAGTCTGTGGTATGAACAGATCCAAAGAGGAGTGGGCACCGAAATCAGCAAAACAGGCCTAAAACAGGCCTCCAGTTGCATTGTGTCTGGGCACGCTCTGCTTACCTGAGCCTGCCACACCCCTGTGCAAACAGAAAACAGTACCTCAAATCCCACATTTCAGCCCCAAATCCTGCAGGCAAAGGCAGCCCAGTGGCTCCTGCTGCCTGCAATGGAGTAAAGTAAAAGCTGCAAGAGAAACCTGCCCTTTTGCCCTAAAACTGTAACCTGCTCGCAAAGCAAAGGTGGAAATGCCTCTAGGGTTGCACCAAACAACCCCTGTCCAAAGAGCTGCAGCTGGAATGGTATTCCCAGCTTCACCTGCATTGCTCCCACCCCACCGATGTTACAGGGAAAGGTATGAGGGGAGCTGGAAATAGCCCTGATGCCCCAGGAGTGCCAGGCTGCAGCCAAGCTCAAGACAAGGAAAAGCTACATGGGAATGAGAAAAAGCAGCAACGTCCATTGTTTTCCTGTTTTTTTAACTCCTAAAGGTGTCCATCCCTCCCTGAGCAGCTCTCAGACAGGATCTGTTGCTGGATTAGCGTGCTGCTGTCTTTAGAAAGAAACCAGGCTTTCTCCGCCAACACACGGAGAGGGAGCTGAACAGCAGCCAGCTCCAGGAGAAGCCATTTCACAGAGGGGGATCTGGTGCTGCTTTTCTCCCCAGCATCCTCTCTCCTTCCCTGGACCAGCTGCCTGCATCAGCACGGTTGAGGACACAGCAGAAAGATGCTTTGCAGGTTGCTCTGCAGTACCCAACACAACGCAGCATCCATCTGGCAGCAGGTCCCACACAGAGGTTGGTTTTGCAAGTGAATTTGAGTCTTTTTCCAGTGTCAATGGGATGGAGAGAGTGGAACGAGGGTAACAAGTGGGATGGGGCTTGGGGTGGACCACGCCAAGCCAAGGATGTGGAAACTGCCACCAAGCTCCATGCTCACCCCATCCCCAAGCACCTGGGAAGTCCGTCTGCGCACAGGGAGCCAGCATCCTTCCCACAGCCACTTCCCTTATTTGGTGCTCAGGAGCACGGATCCTGTACGGTTTCCAAGAAGTTTCCATGGTGATGAAACGTAACCCACAATGATGTTTTTCTGGCTCTGAGCCTCTTCCCCTTTCCACCCCGGCCCCCTCCTGAACCCAGCCTGGGTTTAGTGTTGTGCCAGGGATGGGGTGAGCATCCCTGCCCTGCTCCATCAGCTCGCTGGGGTGCCCTGAACGCGGCAGCACCCTCTCTGTGGCTTGAGGATGGGGTGAGCATGGAGCCTGGT